CGGGGGGGGGGGAGGGGAAAAGCGATGAAAAAATTGTTGACGCCTCCCCCTTTTTCCCCCTTGCTGTTACCCGTCCGCGTCGCGTCGCAGCGCCGACAATTTGGAACGAACAATCACGGTGGGCTTGAGCTTTCGCGAAAGCCCGATTAAAGATATCCATAAAACCAGAAGAATCGCAGCAATCCGGCTGGATCTCCGCGAAAAAAGCAAAGGAAAAGGAAAAAAAGAGAATCGGATTCGATACCCCACGGTAACGAAGTATAAAGCAATCGTGTTCTCTCGAAATATCGGTGCGGCGCGCACAGATTCGCAATATTATACACCGAGAAAAAAGAGCGATAGGATCAACGAAATTCTGCTCAAACGAATAAAACTGTTTCAAGCAGAACGTTTAGTCCACTGAACAAATTATATAATTGCTGTAACAAGTTATCAGTTGATTCAACGATTGCGATTCAGTCGGCAAACATGTCAACGCAACATACTGTTGCGTCAGCACGTAATTTATTCAGTGAGCGCAATATTTTTTTTTAATTAAGGGTGATCGCTGATTTTGTCGATGCAATCGCTTTTTTGTCAGTGTACTTGCCATCCGGTGTTTCCACTGACAAATTAACATGTGACAAGTTAAATATTAAGGATCATAAGGGAATAATTAAATATTAAGGGCAAGCACAAGTTCGCCGGGTCGTCAGTGATTCATTTCATTGCTTCGACGGATGAGTTATTTGACAATCATCTGCAAATTGACAGGAAGTAATAGTTAACATTATTTTCATTGAACGTGGCATATATTATTTCGTTGTTATTAATAAAAAACATATAGCTAAAAGTCCGATGAATTTTTACAAGCCCTAATTGATGTCGGTGTATCTAAAAAAAGTTAGGACAAAGAAATCATTAGGACGAAAGAGGAATGAATGACTCCTCCGTGTTAATATTTTGCTCATGATCATATCGTCGATTCAACACAAATTGGATTAGGTTTGAAAAAAAAAAGCACGAGTGATAAATTGATATAAATGTCAGCACGGAGAGAATCGGGAGGTTGTCCGGGGGGAGGGGAAAAAATTGAAGAACACAGCGATGATAGTGATGTTGATGACGTATTGATGCGCAGTGCCGTGCACATCGTTAGATCCGCAGGGTCCTGCGGATGACCAGTCGATTCCATCTCCATTCGCGCCCCTTTTGTCCGACGTTCGTTCGTGGATTCCGCCCTCGCCCACCCTTCGCCCCGTCCCTCGTCAGCGCGAGCTTCGGCAGAGCTTCGGTGGAGGGACGCAGATAACGGGTTTTAATTCCATACGAACGGATCGACGTGCGAAAAAAAAAAAGAACCACGGAGGGAGGATCATCGGGGAGTCTCCTGCGTGCGGATTGATGGACTGCCGGGAACAATGGTTAAGTTCGGAAGTAATCGCTTAATTCCGGAATTCCAGCCAGCCAGAGGCCGCCCCTGGTTAGATTCCGTATTGCGTACTTTCCGGGATCTTGTTGCTCCCCCTCCCCCCTCCATTCTGGCGCGAAGGGGATGAACTCGCTTAAAACGCGCATTTCTCAGCGGCATGTGGCGTATTTCTTGATTCCTCTCACACACGGATTGCGTTTCCCTCCTCTTCTTTTGTCCCGCCCGTAATATGCAGGGATCAAGCAAGAAACTCGCGCGCAACTATTTAATTTCATCAACCGCCGGTTACACCGGAGACGGTAACTCCGCCTTCGCTCGGCAGTCGTAAATTCCGGCCAGAATTTCTATTAACTTTCGCGCGCATTGACCCGGGAAAAAATTCACCATTCATAATTTTCACGATGAAACACGCGCGACGAAACGGCGCGGGTTCTCTAAATAAAATCTCGAAAGCGGGGAGCTTCCGCGAATAACTCACCCGACTCGGCAACGTAATCACGGTGATTTCCCATGACATACCGGTGCGTAGCGTCTTTTTTTTACCCCGGCCTGCTCTTTATTCGCCCTTCCCGGCCTCCCGCCGCGAGCTTTGCGCGGCAATAAAGGGGTCTGCTCGAGCTGAAGCAGGACGGGGTAAACAATGGTACCCGGCGCGGAGAATAGCCGCTTTGCCGGCCGGTTCTTCTGCCGCGATAAAACTTTTGTCGCGGTGGCACACTTGCGAGAAACTTTTCCGAAAGCGCCCGGAGTTATCGACAAAGGAAGGTAACGGTTTGTTCTACTTCTACTCCGCCGCGGGACGGGATGCCGTTTTCGCCGGGCGAAACTCATTAACCTGACCGCGAACAATTAGAGATATTCGGTCGAGTTTCGAGGTGTGCGGGGCGCCGGTTCGTAACGCATCGCCGGAAAGAGTTCGAAGTAATTGCGTGAATTGCGTTGCTTATCGCGCCGTGCCGGTGGGCTTTATTCGCGTCTTATTTATCGCAAAGCGTGCGAGTACGTTAAATTTTTATTGCAATTTTCGAGGATTGACCAAAGGACGACGGGTAAAACGGACCGATTTGTCGTCGAAGAAAGCAGAAAATCGAACTGAATTTCTTTCGCCGATCGAAGTGAAACTTGAACAAAATAACACGTATAATAGAAATAATAAAAAATAATGTTAATTGAGAACTTTGACTGATAAAATTATGCGAAAGCAGATTTTTTGTTTAGAGAACGATGGTTCCCCTGTTTTCGTAAAATATTCGTCGTCGTACCCCACAGAAAAGAGATCTGTGAAAGCTGCCTTTACAGTCGCGATAAAAATAGTTACGACAACACTCACGGATAAGGTTTCTTGCTCTATAAATTCGCATACTCACGAGTTCTGTGTCAATGCCAGCGCCGTCGCGGATGTTCTCATGATCGGCACCGGCACCATTAACCATTCCAGCGGCCGAACCGGTGCCGCTAGCCCCTGCTTTTCCACCGATACCACCGGCTGGTGTTTGCGGTAAGCTCTGAAAGGAAAAAATCGAGAATTCATCGTGCGCAATCTTTTCCGTTATTTTTTCGTTTATTTATATTAATATCGCCACATTTTGCGCAGTTTTATTGTTTTTCCATATTTTTGTTTTTTACTGAGGTCAAACTTGAAAGAAGAATTTTTTTTAATTTTCGCTCGAAGATCGAATCCAAGCTACATTCAGTAGAACTGTTTTTCTAGTAAGTGCACCATTATGTCAGTGATGATAACTTCACATGAATATCGCTACTACTATTTCTGTGGTTAAAACAACGAAAAGGATGCAGTTGGCACCGAATATAACTATAACTTCCTTTCAGCGCACGTTGACAAGGGAGTTCGCTTTCCGCGACGGTAACGACGATCCTCCATCTGTTCGAAAGCGATCACGTTACCGCGCGATAAACGATCCGCCGAAAATTTACCGTTGCCTTTATGGAGGGGGCAGGGGGGAGGTTCGAGAGTTCGATAATGCGGCGCGTCGTGCCCGATTTGTTTCCCGCCGAAATCCGCGCTGAAATCTCGCCTCAATTTCTCCCCGGCGGAGAGATCGTCGATTCCTTTTATTCGCAACGTCTTGAAGCTTTTCTCGAACTCTTCTTCGCGGCTTCGTTCCTATATAGCCAGCCTGCCCAGGACTGCGCGCCTCGCCACGAGCGCCGGCTTTTACGAGGGGGATTAGGTGGTGTAAAGGATGGTCGTAAAGGGAAATTTCGCCGAACGTATTTGCTTCGATCGTCCTGTCTCGCCAATGTGAGGCAGGAGGGCGAGAAAAATAGCCGGCGAGACAAAGCAATTTGTATGCACTGGGGAAATGTGGGCGCGACAACATTATGTACTACCAGCTTCTTCCTCGTTCCGTTTCGCATTTAATGAAACTTGGGGCTTGGGGTTGGAGATATGTCTCGCGTGAAGCCGGCGGCTTTCTCGGCGAAAGGATTACGAGCGCGGTTTTTCAATCAATTTCACCAACGTGACGAAACGATTTCTCTCTCTCTCTCTCTCTCTTTCACATACACACACACGCACTCCAAGAATAACTTACATAAGATAGATTTATATTTTGTCTTTGGCTAAAAAGTGGTACAGTCGCACAGGATCAAGAAACGATATGTCGATATGTCAAGATATAAGCTGATATCCGTGGTATTTCATGTCCGTAGAGCTTGGCGGGCGCGCACCGACAAGAAAAATATAAGCAAGGCCGCCGTCGACTAAGAAACGCTTACATTAAAAATGCTTTTAAGATCGAACTGGCTGGCCGATAAAGCGATAGTATATGGTACTCCTAATGGCGGGGAGGCTCTGTATGCCCAAGTGGCACGGGCGGGCGAAAGGATCGCGAGTGAAACAGGGAATAAGAACGCTCCTCGCCCGAACGACGAGCTCTCTGCGGGAGAGATCGACTATGACAAGGGAGATCCGGGAGTTAAGGTTAAGCTAGTGTCTCTCGGCCGCCCATCCGCCGTCAGACTCTATCGTTTCCCGTCGGCATCACCGTGTTTCGTGTATTGGTAATAGCGCAAAGTGCTCTTCTCGAAGTAATAGCGGCCCGAAGACCCTTTAAGCGACGTTCAGCACTTTACGACCGCTCTTTATAAGGACACCTTCTTGCTCTCCCGCGGGCGCGCGCACAAGCCTCCGTTTCTCACCTTTCTGAACCTCCGATTCGCCTCCGCATTCGAGGGAAAAGGAGAAAAAGAGCAGCCGAGGTATGTACGAGGCGGAAATTCTCCCTGGAGACGGTCGTCGCTCGCGACGCATTTTTATCTTCATCGCCGATAGAACGGTGATTAAAGGGAAAGTAATTCCCGTCGTCCGACCGATCGATCGATCTTGCGGAGTACGCAACGTACAGAGACGTTCTCATCAGATTCCGTAATAAATTTCGATCTGTCAGCTGAAATTTTAAGCGAGCACCCCTGTTGATTCCGTTGATGAAGGGTCAGATAATTTTGCCGTGCGCTCCTGATTTAAAATCGTTTTGCGCGAAAATCTTTTTTAACGAAAATCCCCTCTTCCTCTTCCCTCGTAGAATTTACATTTTTGACATTTCTCTATTCCTCATTCTTGACGCTCTTATTAAGCCGTGATACTTTTTATTTTCACTTTGTGGGAATTTGCCAGAATAACGAATAGGATAAAAATAATTCTGGTTTTCCACTTTTCGATTAACCTCGCGGACTCAAAGCACAGGCAGTTCTCGTTAGTTTCCGCGATGAGCCGCGCGAATCTTCGGCTCCGGGATTTCACCGGCGACGCTGCTTAAATTAAGTTGTTTAAATAAAAGGATAAATAATTTCCACAGATAAAACGAAATCCATCTTTCCGTTCGTTTCGCAGCTTACTCTCTCGCATATTCGCGATTCTCTCATCTTCCACTTTGCTCTTGTCACCCGACACGCAATGTTCAAATTTCCTGGAGGAACTTTCGGGTGCAAGGTAAAACCCCGTAATGAAGCCCAGCTTCTTCGCGATATTTTACATCGGCGCGAACCATCTCTCACCCTTGTCGGCTTTATCGATGAGCAAAGAGCGGAAGGCAAAAGAAGGATTGATGCTCCGTAGTCACCGGCGCGCAGTGAGAATTCTTCTAAAACTGAATTTTCTCCCCGAAGACCGTAAAGTGCACCGTAAAGGAGCAACTAACGCGGCTTCGAGAGTTTGCGCGCAGTTGAAACCGCAAAGGAGACTTCTTCGAAGTGAGACGCCACGCGAATAGAAGGCTGACGGACAAAGGACTCTCTTCCGACGTCCAAATAGAATAGTCCAGTGCGAATAGCCATCGGACAGGCGATGCAATTGTCCAATATCAGGAACACACGAGACATATTCCTTTTCTTCTTTTTGATCTTGTCGTAAAACATCGTGATCTTCATGTCGAGATGTTTCGTGCGACTCGAGAAAAGTGAACAAATAAAATATCAAAAAGGAAAAAAAGAAATCCTAAGCTAAAAAAGACACGAGACTAGTGATTGGACTGAGATCGGTTTTGACACTATCGATATATTTATGTCTGAAATTGATACTTTCGTATCAATTCGTTCTAAGATATATTCACAAACAATTTGAGACGTATTGAGACATGCGCGACTGTCGTATCGATATATATCAATTATATATCAAGTTTAATACTATACCTCTTCAACTATAATTCACAATTCAGACATAAAATTAATTAATACAAAAACTTTTCTCCCTCCTTGATCTTGTCATAAAACGCCCGTGATCTTCATGTTGTGATATTTCGAGCGCGACTCGCGCGATTTGGAAAAAAAAAAGGGAATAGGAAAAAAAAGAAGCAACGAGAAAGTAGATAACAGTGAAAGTTTCCCACACGTCGTTAATCATGGTTCGCGATTCATGAATAACAGAAAGCCACGAGGATACTTCGTCATCATTCATAATCCCGCGGAGAAAGAGCGAGAGAAAAGGAGAGCGAAAGAATTACATAATTCCGCAGCAACTATACCTTTGCCGTTATTCCTCGTTGTCCGCTTAGAAAGCAAGATCGTGTATTATAAATAATTCAGTTCGGGATCGAGTGCGTTTTTCTTCCGGCTGCCAAAGTAGTGCACGTTCGATTCACTGAAATACCTTATCGCACATACGCGGGAACTACCGTGCGATTTGTGTTAGTGTAGCGCAACCTGCAACTTAATCAGAGTCGAAAATGCCCCGACACGGAAATGTCAAGGTTGATTTTGAGCGGCATTCCGCCGTTTGAAGTATTGCGGGGCCATTGTGCGTGGCACCAACTCTCGATTACTTGGTCCTCGCTGGGGCTTTGATTGATTTCGCAGTCGGCACGATCGGTCTTCGTGATTTTTTACACGCGATCCGCGCGAGTCGCAAGTATGTTCCTGAAGTGGCGGGATTTATCGAGCCGCGAGCGTGCTGCCGACGAAGTGCCGAAATTTATCGTACCGCGATAGACGTTCGTTAAATGAACCCGCGGATTCCCATTTTATCTTCCGCTAATCGAAATCGTAGATTCCATTACGAGATAAATCAGAAAACTTTTCGCCGATTTTCGCCGTATTAATTCGTATTATTAATTCGCCGTTGAAACGGCGAATATTAATCGCGTCGTGATAAAGTGCTGCGAGATGAAGCGCGATCAACGCGGAATGATGTATATAATCCGGGGAATAATATATTTTAAATATACCCTTATAGATTATTCCTTTTTAATCTTTTAACACACATTATTCCTCTTCACTTCGATTTACGGTAACAATATCAATCTCGTCGCCATTACAATCGACGAGGCAAAGAAAAGAATCTGAACGATTCGATCGTTAATGAGAGAAGCTGCGCGTCCGCTTTGATCGATCACGACTTTCCCAAGTCGGCGATAAAAGAACAAGATAGATGCGTGCGGGAATGCGTGCCGAAGAGATTACTTCTTATTTCATGGCGATACGTCGACTAATTAGCGAATTACCGAGATTTGAAACCGCGATGTATCAGGCGTTCGCTCGGCCGCAGTGTCAATGCGAGCGCAGCGGCACTTGCTCTCGCGCCGGCGCACTGTTTGTTTTCTTGCCGTCCTCGTCTGACGTGAATGGCCGAGTGGTGGGGGAGACTACGTGGTGGGGAGACCACGCGGTCGAAGCGACCATGCAGCTGTGCGGTGAAGTAAGGCCGCGGAGTGGGGGCAAGGCCGCGCTGTCACGTACGGCGTGAGGCATGGCTTCCCCGAAACGCGCTACGGAATGCGGCTATTGGTGTCCGTGCGTGACCTACCCCCAACGGGTAGCGCCAGAGCGATCGAGAGCGCGGATCGATGCGAACGTCATCTTCACTTCTAGATGTCGTAGCGACGTGAAACAAAAACCGTTGGAAAGGGAAAATTACCGCACTTTCGACGGACGTGAGATCATTCTTCCGCGAAATAAGGATCGATCAGCATATTTATATAAGTAGGGGAGATATTGAGGTTTGTGTCTGCGTTAGAATTAATCCATGTTGAAAAGCAATGGGAAACCTTGG